CACACACACACACACGCACACACACACACACACACACACACACACACACACACACACACACACACACACACACACACACACCCCACACACAATCTTTTTTGTTTGTTTCCAACACAGGGCTTCTCTGTAACAGCACTGGTGTCCTGGAACTCCATTCGCAGACCAGGCTGTCCTCAAACTCAGAGATATGTCTATCGATTAAAGCTGGCCACCACCATCCAGCTATACCCACAATTTGTTTGTTTTTCCAGACAAATTTTTTCTGTGTAGTCTTCGCTAACTCAAAATCCTCCTGCCTCTACCTCCCAAGTGCTGGGATGAAAGGCGTATGCCACCACCATGCAGCTACACATACATAATTTTTTATTTATTTATTTTTTAATATTTGCGCCTGGGACTGAAGAGATGGCTCAGAGGTTAAGAGCACTGACTGCTCTTCCAGAGGCCCTGAATTCAATTCCCAGCAACCACATGGTGGCTCACAACCATCTGTAATGAGATCTGGTGCCCTCTTCTGGCCTGCAGGCATAAATGCAGATGAAAAACTGTATACATAATAAATAAATCTTAAATATTTGCACCTTGGTTAACAAAGATGAGTTCTTACTCATAGCTTCCAAACTAATGTGCTCTGAAAATGTTTTACATTAAATATCAAAATCAAGTTGTTTTCCTGCCATTTTCAAGTTTCTTTAATAAAACTGGTCGGGAGATAGAGGGGCGGGGAAGGAAGCAGGGAAGTAGCAGACAGAAGCTGGCTAACAGTTATATTGGCATTAACTGTGCTCTTCAACTTCTAAAACTGGAAGTATAACTGAATAATTGAGAATTATACCACAACTTCTTACATAGCAACTGAATCGATATAAAGTGTCTGAAGTTTCACATTCTAAATGACACAAGTGGGCAGACTATATGCAATACATTTCTCTCCCTGGTAGTAGTAGTATTGTTGACAAACAGTGAGTTGAACTTTGTGTTCATAGTACTTTGACACAATCTTAACAGTTATGACTTCATTTTACACTGAATTGGTCCTAACATTAGCAGACAAACTTAAATTAGGAAAAGGTTTCTGAAAAAATTAAGACTTTCTGGTTCTGTTTTTTCAAGTCAGGGTTTTTATGTAGTCCATCTTAGCCTTGAACTACTTACTGTTCCTCCTGCCTCTACCTAGAAGTATTTGTGGCAGAGATAATTAACCTGTTAACCCCCATGGACTTTAAACACCAGCTTCTTTCTTCATAATATTTTGAAGTTTGCTTTTTCTTTAGACTGTAGGTCACTTATTTGAAAACATGGAGATTTTTTTTTACTAGTGATCTAAACTTATATTGAGGTTAGATTGCCCGTTTGTCTGACTCAACTCAATTGAATGCTAGCTTTGCATCTTTAGTGGGTGTGCAGCCCTGCACTAGAGTGCTAGCTAAGCAATCTGCAACCACTAAGAAATCCCCCCTACTCTAGCAAAAGCTTACAAGTTGGAAAAGGACAGAAATGTGACCTGTGTAGTTACCCTAAGTAAGGTGATTTTGAAAATAAGAAAGGACATGCTTTCACTGTAATTCCACCAAAAAGAAACAGAAGGTGGGGACTAGAGAGATAGCTTGGTGGTTAAGAGCACATTCTGCTCATCCAGAGGACCTACGTGATTCCCAGCATTCACAAGGTAGTTCACAACTCCAGGGAATCCGATGCTTCTGACCTGCACTCACATACACACAAATACAGGTAATTAAAAAATAAACTTTTCTTTAAAAAGCTTCACAAATAATCCAGACTGCACTGTAAAACATCTTGGTTAATCTTTGAATAGCTTAAATATTTTATGAATGAAACACACAAGTTGAGTTTTTAGGAAAATAGTGACTAGAGATATAGTCAAGTAGAAACTGTAGAACTGTGCGAATTATTTGTAAAGGCAGTTCTTTCTGATTGCCTAAGATGAAGTTGCTAAAAAATTACTATTCATTAAAAAGTTTTTCCTGCATGCGTATCTGTGTACCGTGTTCAGTGTTCAGTAAGTGTTCAGTGTCCACAAAGGCCAGAAGAGGGTGTGGGATTACAAATGGTTGTCAGCTGCCAAGTGAGTACTGGGAATTGAGCCCAGGCCCTCTAGAAACGCAGCCAGTTTTTTTTTTTTTTTTTTTTTTTTTTTTTTTTTTTG